GTTTATCCCTTTGGTCCATGTGGCAGGGGTGAGGAGTGAGCACCACCTCACCCCTGCCACGTGGACCTCAAGAGATACACCATCAATCCTGCCCAATGGTCAGCTTTCCTCGTGGGGTCACCCATAAAGACAGTGGGAGGGTTAAAATGAATTCTGCAGACATATAGAGCTGCAGCAGCACATATTTTATTCCACTCTGTAGTTGAAAAGTGAACATACCAATTATGTTCTACGCACTTAAAAAATTGGATGACAAGGAAGTAAAATTAGCTTGTGTTAAAACCTGCTAGTCACTGCTCATATCTTCATTTTTTCATCAATCTAAGTAGCAAGTGAATGAATAACAAAGTGAACAAAAATAACTATGCAATCCGATTAACGAGCACCTGCTAAATTAGATGTAATCATGTTGAGTATGGGTTATAGAGTTTCTCATTTAGGTAAAGTTCCCAGAACAGCAGATAGTAAGGGCTTTTCAAACGTGAAGCAATGCAGTGCTGCTTAAGGGCCAGTGACTCAGGCCAAGGCAGTTAAACTCAGCTTCCAAACTCAGATGAAATAGTTAGATTCCCGTATTTAACAAAACAGGTTTTTGAAAAAGCTGCAAAGAAACTTGCAATCTTGAGGTTTTATTTTATTCAACATGAATAAATGTTTTTAAAAATGTGGATCACTCGTTCAACCAATACATTTTCAGTGGTCTCTTGTAGGAATAAATGTCTTGTAAGTCGTACTCTGGGAAAACAAAGTTCTGGTGTACCATTTTCAGGAACTAGTAGTGATCCATATCAGAGCTGAGCTTCAGACAGCAGGTTTCGGAATCTTATTTCCTGATATTTGGACATCTCACCTTGACCTGGATAACAACAACAACGTAGTTCTACCACTGACTCAGTTGGCTCTGCCATGTTGGTGTTTACTCTACGCAAATAACACAAGCCTGGAGGAGTTCTGCTGTGTGGTGGGGTTGCTAATGCTAAAAGTTAGCTTCTACTTGCTGAGGTGTTCTCTTTTGTTTCCTTGACATTAAAACAACAACAGCTTTCTCTGTCATGAGCCAAGATGGGTGAGTCCATGAATGTATAATGACAGTGTGAAATAATCCTAGAGTTTCCTCATCATAAAATGAATACATTTACAGGCGAGGTTCACTGAGAAACATATAATACTCGTTTATTTTTTTAAAGATCGGTCACTCTGAGTTTCATATGCAGGCTGAATGTAAAAACAGTCTTCTACCCCTATTTCCTGCATTAGCCTATGATAGAAAATAGTTTAACACTTGGTTCAAAAAAGAAACACAGATCTATCTCGCAAAGTAAATTTGTATTCATGGACTCACCCATCTCATCTTGGACGGGGAATATTGATGTTGATTTAGTCTCCTGCAGCAGACCCTGTCTCAGCTAGTAGAAGCTACCTGTTAGCATGGGAAGCTCCACAATATGGTGGAACATGTTCAGGCTTGTGTCATTTGTTGAGATAAAACATCAACATCGTAGAGCAAAAGGAAGTGGTGCAAGAGTAGTTTTGTTTTTAGCCAATCAGAGGTGAGATATTTGAATATCATGAATATTAATGCATAACACTCTTGATCCTGCTGTGTTTTGCCCCTCTCGTCCGGCTAACTTCTACTTCCTGAAACAGGAATGCAAGAACACATTTTTTTTCCTCACAGAGAGTGACTTTCAAAGCATTCATTTATACTAGAGACTACTGCATATGCACCGCAACAAGGAGTGTATGCCCTCTTGAATATAATTAAAAAATGTGAAAAATAACACCATTATTAACTGCAAAACCAAGATTGCGCATTCTTCATCCACACTAACATTACTTGAAGATTTCAACATAGCTTTTAAAGTGCAGAGTGTGCAATCAGACACAAATATGCCTGAAATTTAGACTATTTCAGCTGCAGTCAAACAACAGTTCTTTATAATGACATAAATCCAAATCAAAGGTGAACGCTCTCACTTTTTGAACTTGTAACTAAGGAAAAAAACTTGCCAAAATTGTCACTTGTCAGGCTGATACTTTAACGTTTAGCAATCCTTCAGGCATGTTTCACACAAGAAAAGTTTGTCAATTGACATTTGTTGAATATGCTCATAACACAATGTTGCACCTAGATTAAGATTTTCAAGATAATATTTGGGGGCTTTTGTCTCGCAGGACTGGCCTAAAGTAAGAGAGAGCAGGCTGGGGTGGTGGTAGATGACTGGTCAAACATCCTGGCAGAATTAGCAGGCATTAGTTGAATTTCCATTATTCATTAAAATTGTGAAATCTCGACTTTCTGGAAGAAGAGATTGATTACATTTAATACACATTTACAATCACCAGCATCATAATCCACATTAAATGAATCACTAACTGCATGAATCTTTGCTATGACTCATGTGGGTTTGGTGAGTTTGTGTTCGAATCAATCTTACATGGCCACAGGGTAGCAATGGTATTTGATTTCTGTGTCAGAAGTAAAGAGATTCGTCTTTTCTGTCTTTACCTTGGACGTTTTACCGAAAACCTTTTTGTTCCCTCAGGTGAAGTCAATGTAAAATTTATAAAAATCGACCCCGATGATCTTAGGATGACTTTTGACCCAAAGGTACAAGGAAAAAGGCCAATGAGAGGCCTTCAACCTCACTCCTTATTCCAAAGACCTCAAAGTGACCCCAAGTTCTCACACAGTGTTTCATTGGCTACATTTATATAGCATGAACACATTATACAATGACCATGAGTCCAAGTCGGTTACAATTGTGTGGCATCAGTCAAAGCACCAGGATGCCAATTACCTTTTACGGCCGTGTGCCATCACTAATGCCTTTTCTTTGACTTTCACCTTCTTATGTGCCTACAAAGTGCAGAAGAAGAGCAAGAATGAAAGCAATAGCAAACAAAGGTAATGAAAGGTTAGAATAAAGACAGCAGCCAATTGGAGGACTTTGATGAAAAAGGAAATGTGATAAATAAGAGGAAATATAAGAAAAGGCAAAAGGAGGTGACTAAAAAGTCTCATGCGAAGATCACAAAATCAGGGGCAGCTTGGATTATTAAAGATGCCCACAGTTCACACCATCTGTCACTTTTATTTGCCATGCTTTTGTAAGTGGGTAAACAATGTTTACACATAAACACTCTTGCTGAGCTTTAAGGGCTCTCAAATTGTTCCTCAAAGAGAGATTTCACGTCATTCATAATGATTCCTTGGTTCGGTCATTTTCTTTATACCGTTTCTACCCTCTGGTGTATTGGTGGGTAGATGGCACACACACACGCACGCACGCACGCACACACACACACACACACACACACACACAAAAGCTGTAACAGACACCAAACAGTCAAGTCTCTAGTTCTTCTGACTTAGAGTTCTTTGAACAGTGTTGAAAAAGTGGAACATTTATTAAAGTCTTATGGGAATACTGGGGGAAGATTCCCCGAATGCATTTACTGGAATAGGTTTATCTGGTACCTATGTTTTAATGGCATTCTGTTTAGACAGCTGATGGGTTAGGGTTAGGACTGGTGACCTATTAAACAATTATTGGCTGATTGGAGATAATAAAAGGGAATCTGATATTATGAGGATGAAAATAATGTTGAGGATAAATAAAGAATTTGATGATACATTTCCATCAAATATATACTTTATTGAAGGAAAACTTCTTGCAGTTTTCTGTCTCTAACAACCCCAGGGAAATATTTGCCTTTTTTCATTGAATGCCATATTCCATTACACATTAAGAAATGATGACATCCTGTCTTGTTCTTTTTTACCAACATCTCATTATATTTTGTTACACATTGTATGTTTTAATAATGCTATTATACAAACGGCTCAATTATGTTAAATATTCAAAATGTCTCTGAGTGCCGTGGTATTTTTATTCACCATTAACCTACATATATTCTTTACCTTTCATTAATGGAGCGTTTGCACATGTTAAAATCAATCACAGCTTCTTCACTAATGCAGCCCATTACAGAAGCTGGCTTTTAGACTCTGGGTCGATAACAAGCCAGACGCTCTTTGCCTTGTTTGGCCAAAGAACACAATGTTCATAATTTCAGAAAATAGTGTCAAATGTTTAACCTTTTTTTAAATATTTTTTTTCCACACCACCCTGAGAATGTGGCAGTGTTTCTGATAATTTTGTTTTTAACTGTTAATTATTTGTAAGTCTTAATGTAAAATAGTTTTATGAAGGAGCAAATTTTATTTATTTTATATTATACTCTGGGATTTATAGTTTGAATGTGGTACAACCTCAACCCAACACAATCACCACGTGTATGCTACACGTTTGAGCAAAACAACCTCCTGTAGCCTTGTTGGTTCTGCATTCTGGGATATAGGATGGTACACAACTGTCAGTAGGTCCTAGCTAGCCATAAAAGAACCCAAGGCTTGCGTGGAAGCTAAACAAGTTTTAAATCAGAGCTGAATAGATTTGTCAGCTATGCTTGAGGAGAAGGTGTCAAATAGCTTCTTTTCATAGGCAAAAATGTTGGTGGTGGTAATGCTAAGTGCTACTCCTAACTTGTTGGTTCAAACATGTGGGGTCAAACCACCGATAGATCCATATATTTTATATTGCAAGTTGTACACAGCTGTACACAGATTTTCTAGCTTCTGGCAGTGTCACACGGCCATTTGGGGTAAACTAACCAATCAGCATGCATTCAATATTCATGTCCTCACCAAGTGGGCAGGGCAAACTATTTCCCTTGTAGGGCTTTATTATGGGGTTGTATTCAGCCATTTGTCAGGGCCCCTGGGCCATTTTGAGCCTCATTAATGTTTGCATTATAGATTCTGATAGATCAGTTTGCTATTGTAAATGAAATGTTCTAAAACCCCTTTAATACTTTGACAACTAACTATAACACTCAAATATCTCTTGAAATGCAGTTGATATAATCAATCAGAAAGACTAGACACTCCACCTTGTGTTACATTTCTAATCTAATTTATTTTTTATACTTTTCAGGTGCAGGAGTGGTTATGTCTCAACTGTCAGATGCAGAGAGCACTAGGAATGGACATGACCACGCCACGCTCCAAGAGTCAGCAGCAAATCCACTCCCCTTCTCATCCAACCAATCCTGAACTCAAATCCGATGCTCCAAATCAGCCCGCACCCCAAACACACACCCCTCCTCAGGCACTGCCTCCAGCACAGATCCATCCCTCTCCTGGCCCTACCAAACAGGCTGGCCCAGCTGGCCCTGGTCAACAGCAACAACGGAAACTTCCTCCGGGGGCAGTCCCTCTTCCCGGCATGGCCAAGGCCCCATCCCAGCCTGATTTATCCCGAGGCTCGCCTGCCCACCAACCCCAGCAAACTCGCCAGGACCAGACCCGAAGTGCAGGCAGCTCCCCCTCACGACAGCCTCCACCCCCAGAACAGACTTTTGGAAAGTTGTTTGGTTTTGGTGCATCTCTTCTTAACCAAGCCAGCACTCTCCTTTCAGAGACAACTCAACCCCAACAGCAGCCCCCAAAGCCAGCTCCTAAACCTGGAGGGCCGCCTGGTCTGGGACCTGGAGCAGGAAAACCTTCAGGACCACAACCTGGCCAACAAGGGCCTCGAGCCCCTGCTCAGCACCAACAACAGCATGCTGCTCCAGACTCTAAGCCTAAAATCTGCTGTCCCCTCTGTAAAACAATTCTCAACGTTGACAACAAGTCAGAGGAACCCAATTACAACACGTGCACACAGTGCCACTCCCAAGTGTGCAACATGTGTGGATTCAATCCCACTCCACACCTGGTTGAGGTAAGAGTAAACCGATCTGTTTAAAAGTGTTTGCACACCTCTGTTGTCACTTGGCTTCCCGGGGCTAGAGGCTAGGAGGGGGATCTGGCCATCTGGCTGGGGTCTGGGTGGTGGGTCGCTTTGCTCGGCGTTGGGCGGGGGAACCTGCTCATCAGCACCCCAGCAGAAAGGGTCGAACTCTGGGAACCAGTGATGGTTGTACCCAGTGTGCAGCAGTACCGGGACCAGAGTGAATAGGGTGTGTATGGGGAGTATGAGTAGGTGTCTGGCATGCATTTTTGTGAGTCTTAGGTTGTATGTGTGAGCATGAGGGAGGCAGTGTATGACTGTTTGTGTATGACTGTATATGTCAGGTGGGGCCTTTGACTCCTCCCTTCTCCTGGGACTTCTTTTGATGATATACATCTTCGCCTCCCCTCCCCCATCACACTTGGTGTGGAGTAGGGCTGCACGATATTAGGAAAACCTGCGATATTCGATAACAGTGCTTAATATTGCGATATCGATATTACTTGCGATAAATGAACAAATACTAAAGTATGCATTGTTGATGTCGTCTGGCGTGTGACGTCTGCTCTGGGTTCAAAGCAAACAAAAACTTATGCATGAATTCCATTACAACATGACATTTTTATTGAAAAAATATGCAGCTGCACCTGCTACTGTATTAGCAGCAAAACAACAAACTGCATGCATGCAGTTTCTCAGTGACTATAACATCACCACCACCATAAAACTTTTTCTGATGCTCCAAATACAGAAAAACATCCCTTACCAGGTTTTTTTGAAAAAAAAAAAATCTGAAAGTAAGTTTAAATGTTAAATAATAGTTAACATCACTTAAATGCAACAGCAAATTCTCTCATTGTTACTGAACATTTTGTCCACTTATGTAGTTATAAGGCTGTTGCTGCAATGGGAAAGTGAACTGTGCTGGGCCAAACTAGGAGAATATTAAGATTTTTTGAGGGAGAGAAAAACAACTGTCTACCTTTCAGAAGGGGAACTGGCAAAAAAAAAAAAAAAAAAAAACTACGTGGAAAATATGTGAAAAAGTTTGGTTTTAACCCCAAATTGAACAAGTTTACCCAGATCTTAAAAAGCAGCTCAGATGATGAAACTGCAACTATGATTCTGATAACAAGCTAACAAATTGAACTAGCTCCTCTAAGATAACCGGCTAGCAGAGCTTCTGACTGACAGTTTATGTGCAGCAGCAAATCAACTATCCTAAATAACAAGGTTGTAAAAGCTCATAAATGAAAAATAACTTTGATGTGTGGGGGAACGTTTCCAGGCCCTCTTTAGCAGGTTGGGACTGGGAGGAGAGTGCTGTAGTCTTTTAGCTGGAAGCTAACCGGAGCCTGGGGCTAACATCACCACCCGGTGAAACACTAGCGACATGAAGGTGGGTTGGTTCACCGGCACGTGTCGGAGTCAGCCCGGTAAAAATGATTAACGACACAGAGCGGACTCACGTTCACGTTTGAAAGCAGCGCTGATTCCAGAAACCTCAGCACAAAGTGCGTTCGTTGCTCTGTGCCAGCATGACGAACAAGGGAACGGTGCTGCTAACTCAGTTCGGGTGCTGCTTTCCATCCTAAGGGTCTACGTAGGGGGTGGGCGTATTACGTGAATGGACCCATCTGATTGGCCGCATATCGGAAGGGCTACATTTGATTGGTCAAATAATACTTCCGCGTAAAAAAACAGAGCTGGTTTACAAAAAGTTGATGTATGACATGGATGGAAATGTTTGAACCAAACATTTATTGCCATTTTTGACGTGCTTTGCGATGTGCCTATCGCACGTCCTGTTATCCCGATGATGATAATTTTTCGATATGTTGTGCAGCTCTAGTGTGGAGTGTGGTGCCTTGGTCTGCCTGAGTGTTCGTGGCTCCCGGGTAAGGGGGTTTAAGATTTTTAGCATCTGCCTGATTAATCCTGGTGGCTGCCTGGTGGGATCTGGGTCCCTGGGCTCTGCTGGGTCCCCGGCGGTGGTGGTCACCCCTAGGTCCCGGGTCGCTGGGTTCTGGGCTCGGCCGACTTGAGGGTGGAAGGTTGCGGGCAGGCCTGTGCGCTTGCTGCTGGTACTCCCCGGGACTCTGCTGGCTGCTGGTTGTGGCCCCCCGGGGCAATCCTCTGCGCCTCTCGAAAGGGGCAGGGGCTTTTCTGGTTACAGTCTCCCTGGGGTCCCTGCGCTCTGGGGCAGCTTCTGGATCTCTGAGACTTGGAGCTCCCTCCATCTCCAACACATCTTTGGGGGGCAGATCTGTGGCCCCTTACACTCTCTATTGGGCGCTCCTATAGAGAAACCTTACATATACAAGCGTGGGTACACACACAGGTGCTCACATGGTGCTCTCATAAGTATGAACTTGGGCACGTTCAACACATGTCGGCTGTGGCTGGCACTTAATGCACTGTGATTTATTATCGTGATTGTTCAGTAAAACAATGTTTTTATATTTCCCCATCAGGTTGACGCAGTGATACCTTGCTCCTGTTGTATTGATGTGTGTCCCTTTTCCTTTTTTTTTCTCTCTCTCCTTTTGCAGGTCTAGAAGCAGACTTGTTCATCATTGATTGTTTGTTTTTGTGGAACCTCCCCCTTCCTTTTGTCTCTTCCTTTTGTTGGGGTTATTAGGAGCGAACAATTAGTAAGCTTCAACTTACTTTTGGATTCTTCAATAAATTCTGTAAATATGGGAATATTTACTGATTTATTAATTAATTAAGATATTCTTAGATATACGGGGCACCATTCCCCTTTTACCGGGGAAAAATTGAATCCAAAACTCTTATCAGTCTTTCTTGAAGTTCGTAGAATCCTTGGAGCAGAGACTTCTCTTCGACACAACAAAGCTACTGGACACAAAAATCTGAATTTTATAACATTTAATTAACAATTTGTCAAATGAATAAACAGTGGAATAGATGAATAATAACCGTGTGATATGATTGAAGATGGATGTGTTTGCATGTGATGGAGGATGTATGAATGGGGTCCTTTGTTCTCACAAAGGAGTAGTGTGTGTGTGTGTGTGTGTGTGTGTGCGTGTGTATGGATTCAAAATGGAGTCTTGAATACAAGATGGCTGACCCCTTTGTCTGGCTAAAGTGTGGGTGGCAACTTGCACTTTAACTTCCAAAGCACTTAGAATCAGTAGTAACTTAACCTTAAATCACTCAAAACATTTCAAAAGATCATGAAACAACACAAAAGATTAATCACAAATTAATATCTTTTAGTTTCAGCCTGGCCATGACAGAAACCATTTTAAGATACCAAACAATGATCAATAAGCAGTTTATTCTTTCAAAATGACCCGACGGACGTGTTTGGGACGAAAGAGGAAAACACGAAGCTACTTTTTAAGCAATAGCGCGGTTTTATTGCTTATTCTGGACTATAGAGTTAACGGAAGAAGAAGGAGAGAGAGAAAGAGATGAGTTGCTGATCACCAGAAGAGCGAGGCGTCCCTCCCTCTTTGATTTGACGGTTCTCCGTGTTTCTCCGCAGCTTTCGGCGTCGTCCGTCGGTTTGATGCTTTCTCCGTTGTTTGGCGTTCACGAGTGTTTCTCCACGGGCTGGACAGAGACAGCAAAGTTTCTTTCTGTGCTGAGTTATAACTTACAGCGTGCTTGATGGAGTTGTTGCTTTCCTCCGCAGTTCTGTGTCCTCAAACATCAGCTGGAGGGGAGCAGAAACGAGCAGATCTGATGGGCTTGCAGTTTAGTTTCCAGCGGTTGCGTGGCTCAACTTGGCACTTAGAGCTTCCGCGTGCTCAAGTTGACGGAGCGTTGACAAGCGTGTCCTTACCGCCAGGTATCCTGGGCAAAAGAACGAGGATTCTTTGTCTCTGCTGAAGATTTATGGTCTTAGTTCGCGGGAAAAGCTCCACGGCTTCCCGCACATGCGCAGAACGTGTTTCTGGTACTAGGCGGTGACGTCATCACAATGCTTCCGTGTGCAAAGCATCATGGGAAATGAAGTTTCTTGGCGCTGATGTGATTATTTGCTTTTCAGAGCAATTTAAGCACAGTCATTTTGGAGAAAATCACTGCATAGTAATTTCCTCATGAGGTCAGACCCTCAACACTTTTGTAGAGTTAGGTAAATTGAGTACTTTAAGAGCTCAATATATATTACCTCTACTTATGACCAATAAGCTGGGATACTCTATCTAAATATAGAATATCACCTTACCCGGTCTTTATTGTGCTTTAATCAGAAGATTCTAGGATTCTTCATTCATTAGGGGATTGTACACACTTCGTTTTGATTCAGAAAAGAGTCAGGTTTATAAAAGTAAGAATTTATTTTACAAACAATTAAAACATGACAAGTTAACTAAGCATTTACTGTGATGGATGGAACTAGATGTGATGTATGGACCCTATGTGTGAATGAGATGTTAGTCAGAACTTCCGTATCTGGGAGAGCTGAATTCTGGATGTAAAGGAATTTGGTTTGCGTTAAGCTATGAGTTGATTATAATCAAAAACCACATCAGACGCAATCTCACTGTGTTCTACGTACCCAAGTGGAGATGCCCTTTTCAGATCTGAGATGTCGGGGGGGGGGGTTGGAGGCCCCCAGGTCCATAGATTAACTGCAGTACAACCAGGTCAGTCCAGAGTCATCTCCAGGTAACGACAGTTGGAACTAGTTTGTGTCTCAGGAATAACTCTTAAGCAGTTGAACAAATCAGCTTGTTCTGCAGGAATGATTTTGTTGTATCAGCTTCGCAGGTGCAGAAAGGTTTTGATGACGTGTCAAAAGCTTTGGTAGGTTAAAGAGGTTTGTGCTTCAGGTGACCTGCCTGAAGCTTCTCTGGAACTGAAGAATCACCAGAGTGATATGGTTTTTATGTTCTCATGTTATGATTGTGTAGCCAACCAAAGGTTGGCAAGTTTGAGAATATTACCAAGAATCTCAGAAACACGCCTTCTTTGATCTGGAGGCTCTGATCTGGGGCAAAGGCTAATTATGT